CACTGTGAGGGGGGGATGACCAGACCAGGTGCATGGCATAGGGAAAGACCAAGTCCAGCTCAGGCCCGCAGAGTCTGAGCAGCCCAGGAGTCGGCCAAAGGGACCGTCAGGGAGAGGCCTAGCTGGAGGTGGGGACTTCGGGCTTGGCTGGTCTTTAGATTCTAAAATGGTTGGGCCACCCAGGAACTGAGGCTGGTGGGAGAGAGGGAGCTCCCACTCTATCCTGAGGAGCTGAATTGGTGGGGAAGAGAGGCTAGGGACTATAAAGGAGGCTGAGAAAGTGAGGAGCCAGGTGTCATGGCACACAGGCCTTCTCCGAGGGGTCAGGTGGCAGGGAGGCCATGGAGGACAGGACTGGAATGTGGCCCATAAGCTTTGACCTCAGGGCGGCTACTGTACTGTGTAGGTGGTCTCATAGGTCGGAGTTCTTTGCAGAAGCTTGTGGGCCACTTGTCTGCTTCCTCCACTTAGCTTGGGGCTCGGGGAGGGCCGAGTTCTTTCCACTTGGCTAAGGCTCCCCAGCACTGGTCCCAGTTTGGCCCAGAGGATTTGTCCAGTATGAATGGATGGACAGATTGATAGATGGGCCAGCTGCCATCAGCAGGCCGTATTTTGGAAGGGGTGTTTCATTCATCCGTCCATCCGCTGTTTTTCACCTTTTAGAATAAGAGAAACAAAATGACATTTGCTCCCCTGCGAGGATCAGCCCTGTGTCTTGGGGCTGACAGTAGAGAGTCTTGGCTTTTGTCGTGCTTGAGGCCTGGCCACCAGCGTGTTTCCTCTGCCCATTCTAGCATGCACACTCAACCCCCGGGTGGCTGCTCTGTCTCCACCCCCAGCCCTCACCAGGTCCTCAGATAGTCACCTCCGCATCACTGCTCCCCTGGCCCAGCATGCTTCCTGCCGCCTTCTCACCACCAGCATTCCAACCCAGCATCTTAGCGTGGCATTCAGTGCCCTGTGTCTCCCCACCTCTCTGCTCTGCAGCTCTCTTTAGTGCCCGTGGGTGCTGTTCACTATCCCAAGCCTGCCTTGTGCTTCCACATCTCCACGCCTTTGCTCAAGCTGTGACCTCTTCCAAGAATGTCCTTCTGCCTTGTCCCTCTGTCCTGAACACACATCTGACCATATCTCTCTCTGGCTTCAAGCCCCTCCCTTAGGCAGGATCTGAATGGCTTGGCCTGGCCCTGGCTACCTTCCTCCCTCACCTCTCGCCAGGGCCCACCCTCTTGTCCAGGTCCCAGGGCTGCACAGGGGATACCCACCTCAAAGGCATGTTGGGAGTCTCACATGAGATGCAATGCGTGTGACACGCAGGAAGAGCTCAGGAAATGTTTGGCCCCTGCCCTGTCTTCCCTGTGCCTGTCACACAGTAGGTGGACACCAGGACTAGGGTCACTGACTGAATCATTACTTAGAACCAGCCAGAAGATGATGCAGAGAAATCAGGCAGAGGTGGTGTGGATCAGATGAAGTGATCTGGGGCCCAACTAGGGTGAGGGGTGGCCCCTGCCTGACCAGGGGTCTGATAAGTGGCAGAGAGGATGTTCTATGCCAGCTGTGGTACCCTGGGCAAGGCCCCCTCTTCCCATGGCCCCCTGACCAGTGTAGTGGCTCTGAACTTGGCACTGAACTGAACCGAAGAGGAGGAAAAGACGGATCTCCTAGAACTGTCTGAGAAGCAGCGAGGTGCAGTGGGCAGAGTCCTGGGCCAGGGCCGGAGTGAGGCAAGATAGCCTGTTTCACCCCATTTTATAGAGGAGGAAACCTGAGGCTTAGAGAGCTAGCATCCAGCATCACAGCACCGTGCTGCTTCCTGTTTCTCATGCATGTGGCCTGAGCAAGGTGCCTCCCTCCTGGTGCCCTCGTTTCTTCCTCCGTGAAATGAGAGTGAAAATTCTTCCTTGCTTGCCATCCTCCTGAGGTTCTAATGAGAATGCTGGTGGGCACAGAAGAGCTTTGTAAACTGTGAGCAGTGCTAGATAATTGTGTGGGATTGTCTTTAAAATCATTCTGATTATTATTACTTCATTTATTCATTTCATTATGCAACTCACATTATTGATAACCTTTGGGCCTCGGTGCTGGGGATACCCAGATGAACAAGACAGGTGTATCCAATGTCCATGCTCCCTGCCCCTAGCCGTGGAGCCTCTTTACCCTGGCTTTACATCTCGGTCGCCTCCATATTTCTCCCTGTGGACAACAGCAGGGTTGGGACAGGTCCTGAGACTGCTGTGTGAGGAGGTGCTCACCTGTGGGGTCGCAGCCATGTCATCCTAAGGTAGGGCTTATTCACAAGCCTGTGGTCAGGATGCTTTGTCATTCCCCTGAATAGGTAAGGGACTGATGAACTAGACTTTGGAGTCAGGCGGATTAGAGTGGGAATCTCAGCTCTCTGCTTACTTGCTGTGTGACCTTGAATAAGTCACTCCACCTCTCTGAATTCAGTGTCCTGAGTTGTAAAATGGGAATGATAAGAGTACCTACCTGCCTTTCAGTGTCATTGTGCCTGGCACAAGAGAGACACTTGGTAACTTGCAGCCTCCTCACTGTAATTATTGTTTTGAGTTTGTTCTGGGAAAGGAGAAGTCCCAGGGGTCTGGAGCATTCAGGGAGAACTCCAGGCAGGAAGTACTTCTTGTGTTGGGCTGTAAGGGATGGGTGGGCAGAGGGAAGGGCATCTTGGTGCCTGTGGGTGGAGGAGCAGGAGGGCTGATGGAGGGCAGGAGCTGCCCCAGCCGCCTCAGGAGGGTGCTCCGACCCAAACTGGCCCTCAGGCTGGGAGTGAGGGGTAAGGACGTTTGCCTATAGATACTGAGCCATTTGCATATGGGCATTTGCTCTACCAAAGACTAGGGTTTGCAAAGCAAATTCCCCAGAGGAACCAGCTTGAGCAAATCTGATTTCTAGTTTTGACTGTGGCACCTTCGCCTTGTGGCCTTGGACAGGTTTCCTCCTTCCCTTCTCTCTGAGCCTCAGTTTCTTCACTGATAAAATGGTATAATAATACCTCTTGTGCCTCCTTTCAAGTAAAGATCACAAGAGATAATTCATCTAAAATGTCTTTCTTAAAATATTGAGATTAGATCGTGTCCTTATCGAGGGTTTTCTCTCGAAACCTTATAGCTACCATTCCAATAGGGGCTTTTCACGCTCATAGGATGAGGAAAAGAGGTTGAAAGTGCTTCATTTTGGTCTTTCCTGTCAAAATAAACAATTTCATTTAAGCAACGATACCAGTTAGGCAAGTGATTTCCATAAGAGAGAGCTAAGAGAAACTTGACAGGGAGCAAGGCTTAATGGAAACCCTCTGTGAGACATGGTCCCTGTAAGTCACTTCTTGACTTACTCTAGGGTCGCAGGAAGACAAACCTTCTGGAAGACTGAGATAGCCCTGAAGGCCCATCCTTCATACTGCCCTGGTTGAAAAGGCCTTCTAACCGCACAGGCCTGCCATGGAACTTGCCAGAGGTGAGGGCCACCAGTCTGTCACACACTTTTACCAAAGAGCCCCAGACTGCCCTAGCTTCAGGCCTCTTCGGCCCCTCCGTGACCACAGCGTTCTTATCCACATCGTCGTGGGCCAGGTGTTGCACGTGGCATTGAACAACCACATGTGGCCTGTTTCTTGAAGATAACTTTCCAGAAGTACAGTTTCTTGAGTCAAAAGGCAATAATCATTTGGGTCACTGTAAATTGTCCTGCCAGACTGCCCCTCAGAAAGGCTATATCTGGTGACCCCATGTTGCCCCCTGATTTTGAGAAGGATGTCTGTACTCAAAGGGACAGGGGGCAGAAGGGCAGGGATCAGGGATGGGCATTTACAAATTTGCTCCAGTCCGCCCCAGTTTGTCTCTGGACTCGGGGGCCCTTCTGTGTGGAACGCATGGGGTTGGCACAGTAGCCTGGGGCCCTCCTGGGGGATGGAGATTGGTTGGCCAGCATTGGGGTGACAGGGGTGGGAGCTGGTCGAGAGTACTCCAGTCTGGATGTGACGTTTGCCCTGTGGGGCCCACTAAGCGGGGGGTGTCACTCAATTCCAGGTTTTTCAGCCTGGAGATGTGACTCCCTGGGCCAGGTGGGAGGCCTGCTGTGCTGTGAAGCGGGGGGGACCCATGGGGACATGGATCCCAGACACTGGCCCCGACTTGAGTGGGCGCAGCTAAGGGGTGCTCGCCCCAGTCTGTGGGGAGGGCTCTCTTCCCGGTGACAGTCGCTCTCTTCCCGCAGGATGGCCGAGCCTCGATTTAACAACCCCTACTTCTGGCCCCCTCCTCCCACCATGCCCAGCCAGGTAAGACTGACGTCGCCTCTCTGGATGCCCTACCCTCCTTGGAGCTGCTTCGCTTCGCCCTGGGTTTTGGCTGTGCCTTGTGGGGCGAGGGGTGAGGAGCGAGGGGCGCGGGTGGACCAGCAGGCCTGGGGAAGGCGTGGGACGCGGTCCAGACCTCCTCAGCCCGTCGTCTTACGCCCGCAGCTGGACAACCTGGTCCTGATTAACAAGATCAAGGAGCAGCTGATGGCGGAGAAGATCAGGCCGCCTCACCTGCCGCCCACGTCGGCCTCGTCGCAGCAGCCGCTGCTAGTG